ATTGGACATTGTTTCAGAAAACTGTAAACGCAGCTCCGATTCACTCGCTTTCACTGCTGGCTTGTATTTTATTGTCTGGCTCTTCCTAAACGGTGTAATCACTTTTCTGATGCACATTTAAGGTCCTGATATTTGCTATATTATCCATAATGCTGCAGTAAGAATTCTCATGTTCTCTTGGCCACATGAGTTTGTTTGGAGTCCCTTATTTAAATCTATTTTAAGGAAGTAATCACAGGGTAAAGACTGACACATTAATTGGATGAAATGGAAGATCTATGTTTAACTCCAGCTCTGTACGTGACGTACAGGACGCTATGTGGAACTCCAAAGCCTTAAGCTGCAATGCTTTCTTCCAAGGTGGGAAGAAATGAGCACATATAACAGGGGCGCCAAGAGGTGGGATGAAATAAGTTCCATTTGCTGGTAGACGTGGCTCTCGTGTTGGGAGGCTTTGGGCCAGTGACTCAGACCTGGGGTGGGCTTCTCTTTATTAGCAACTTGAGTTGACTTAGCTCCAGCCAAGAGCAAAGAGCCTTGATGCCTTTTTAGGTTTTGCTTTTTGTGTCTTGTTCTCTCTTAATTCTAAAACCAGCAGGGAGACCCCGTTCTCTTTTTCCTCCCCCTGAAGATGGATGCCTGTTAATGTCCCTGCTCTTCTTCCACCGTGTTTGGACTCTGCCCTTCCAGGAAGAAGCAGCAGGCGTGAAATCCTGGTTCCCTTGGAGATCTCTAAGGTCTTGTGCTGATCACCAAACAGCCCAGATAGTGCCAATTCCTGTGGCCACTCATTCAAAAGAAATTCTGCTAGACACCATTCTTTTGTGGGGAATACCCCAGAATTTCCTTTTACCTTCCCCCACCCCAGCAGAAACCTGTTTCTTAATATCTATTTTGTTTGAGCACAAGCATTTTGAAGCTGTGAAAATTCGATGTCGCAGCCCAAACCATGAAACATGTCAAATCAGGGTCCCTCAGAGTGTGGTTCCTGAGCCAGGAGCATTAGCATCTTCTGGGGACTTGTTAGAAATGCAAATTCTCAGGCCGAGACAGACCTACTCTATCAGATGCTCTGTGGGTGGGGTCCAGTGACCCGGGTTTTAATGAACCCACTGGGGGAGTCTGAGAACCCATGTGTCAGATGCTGCGGAAAGAGGTGCTGGGCCGTCACACCCGGGCCCGCCTTACCGTGCTGCTGGGAAGGATCTAGGTCCTTGAGAGATGGCTGCCTGGCAGGGCCATTTGGTGCCATTAGTGACGCGAGAACGGAACACGTTTATGCTTTGTGCATGTGTGTGTGGCATTGTCATAGACAGACCTTTCACTTTTGGAGTCTACTTTGGTTTTCTTTATGGGTTGTAACCTACAGTAGGAAATAGAATGCCATAAATCCTTGTCTCCAAGGTTACCTTCTTGCTGCTGATAAGAGGCAGGAAATTAAAACAATCTGTGATAGTGTTTTGCTCTTATTAGTCACAGATGGCAGCTTTCAGATATGTTGAAGCAAAACATAAATATAGCAGGGGAACTTTATTATTGTTGAAGAAAAATGATTTGGCTAGGTCAAGTTTATAGTCTGGGTTCGTTTTAATGAAATGGGGTATAGGCAACATTAGCGTTCCATTGCCACCCAGAGCATTAAGACACACAAGGGTTACTAGTTTTGTGTCTAATTTTGAGTATGTAACAACATTTACATTATTTCAAAGTCAAAACTATGACAAATTATATTTGAAGATGTCTCACTTCCATCCATATCTCTTCCCTCCTGTTCTATTGGTCCTCTATGGGTACTGGGCGCTTTTAATTTTTTATTTGCTTTTTAATTTATTCTTTTAGATAACCCTATGTATTTTTTAACATAACCCTACATATGTGTATATGTTCATATCTTCCCCCTTTCCACTCTCTTTACACAAAAATTTGCATAATATGCTCAGTGTTTTAAAAATTATTTTGGAAACTTGTTCTATTAAGTGTAACCTAACTTCAGTAAAATTCACCAACCTTATGTGTGCAATTAGAGTTTTGACACATGCATACAGTTGAATAGCCACCAGTGCGGTGAAGGTATAGATTTTTTTTCTATTACCCAAGAAAGTCCTGTCACTCTTTCATAGCCAGCCCTCCATCCCACCTTTCTGGTCCCCGGTAAACCATCTGCCTGCTTGCTAGCACTATGTTTGCCTTTCCTGGAATCTCACACATTGTCTTTCTCTGGGTGTGTATGGGGCTATTTCACTGAGTTGGAGATTCGGCCATGTTAGTACACGTATTGGTAGTTATTCTGAGTAGTGCTCCGTTGTTTATACATTCTAGCTGATAAATATTGCCTATTTTTTTAGTTTTTATTTTGAAATTGTTTGTTTGTTTTGGGGGAGGGTACAGAGAAGAAGGAAACTTTTTTCAGTGCAAAACAGCTCAACCGGGATGCTGCCCGGCTCTCCACCAGCCCTGGGGCCAGGCCCTTCTGGGGATGGAGGCTTTGCTCTGCTCCTCCACGGTCTGCCCTGTTGGGCCCCACTCTCCTGGACGAAGTGACTTTAGACTTAGAGCATAATTACATAGTGCAGAGAGTTTCCGTACACTCCTTCCCAGCTGCCTTTAATGTCATCAGCACTTTAGAAATTAATATTGGCACAAATACTATTGCCTAAACCACGGAGTTTATTAGGATATTAGTTTCTTCATTGCATTTAGTTGTCATGTTGGTCTCCTGCAACCTGTGACAGCTCCTCAGTCTTCCCACGTGTTGTTTGGAGAGGACTTATTTGGGTATTTTGTAGAATGTCTTTACATCTGTCCATCTGTCTTGTGACTAGACTGCAGGTACGGATTTTGGAGGAGAACACCACAGAGGTGGTATGTCCTTCTCATCACATCGGGAGCGACACAGTATCAAATATGTCTTATTACTGGCGAAATTAAACTTTATTACATGGTTAAGACACTGTCTGCCAGGTTTCTCCATTGCAAAGTTACTATTTTTTCTTTACTATAGACTGTTTTTTAAAAGCAAGCTATTTCTTTTTAACTTCTGATATACATGGGGTGCATGGGGCACACAATTTAGCAAAAGCCCCAATCTTAATTGTAATTATAATAGTAACAACCACTTATCTTCATAGTGCTAAACACGCCGATTATCTCGTTTAGTCCTTAGAGCACTTTTTTGTGCCCATTTTACAGCTGAGAAGACTGAGCTACAGAGTACCTTGCCCAAGCTAGTTAGTGATGGAGCAGATGCTAGCTTAGCCTGATTCCAGGGCCCGCCATTAACATGGGCCATGCGGTTGTTGTCAGAGCTTAGAATGGGGGTGTTCTCATTCATTGCCAGAGAAAACAAATGAGTACTTCCCACTTCTCTTTTGTTCTTTCTTTAAGAAATAGTTTTGTTTGTTTTTACTTTTAGGAAGATTCCTTGTGTAACTAAGATTGTAGTAAGCTATGCATGGCAATAATATTTACATGAAAATCTTGGAGAAATCGGGGATGCCCTGGGGAGCAGCACTAAGGATCTATTTTTAGATTTCTTTCAGAAATATGACTGAAGGCGAGGGCAGAGTGTTTAGAACAGAAAACCGCTCTGCATATGGAGAACGAGTGTTTACCTAAAGAAAGGCAGAAGGACTTCTCCTCGCTGAATTTTCCCAGCCACTCTTTACTAGGGTGTCGTGTTGGTCTGTGTATGTCTAAAACCCACTATGGCCCTGGCCGGTGTGGCTCAGTGGATTGAGTGCCAGCCTGCGAACCAAAGGGTCACTGGTTCGATTCCCGGTCAGGGCACATGCCTGGGTTGCTGGCCAGATCCCTGGTTGGGGGCGAGTAAGAGGCAACCAATCAATGCATCTCTCACACATCCATGTTTCTCTCCCTCTCTTTCTCCCTCCCTTCCCCCTCTCTAAAACTAAATAATAAATAAGATCATAAAAGAAATAAACCCCACCGTGTTCACTTTGTTGACCACACTAACAACGTTCCTACTGCACAAGTGTGTCTCTGAATAGCCTGACTCGGGGGATGCTAACTGTGGCTAAATGACGGCTCAACCTCTGTGCACGTCTGTTCTAGCAGCGATGGGGCTGCTGAGGTCCAGGCTGTGGGGTGAACATGTACACCCCTTCCCTGCGGCTCACTCTGCAGCCCGTCTTTCTGAGGGGGAATCGCTGTAGGTGGCTGCAAAGCCCCACTCATCTCTCTTGTCTCATCGTCCTAGGTAGTCCTTGAAATCACACAGCTAGGTGTCGAGTGTATGCAGTCTCCCACGCTCTCCAGATATCAGTGCAGTTTTTCAAAATAAAGCTATTTCGGGGGTTTGTTTCTAAATGCCTGTCTTATGTCTGGCTACTTGTGCCAGAGTCTACAGATTAAACAAAACACAGCTTATCACCCAAAGCCAACCTGGCTGAGCACACACACAAACCCTGCATGCAGCATTTATTTCCTCAGGAAGGGCAGGAAGGCAGCTGTCCCCAATAAGCCTCATGCTGGCACACTGCGGCTAGAAATTTTGTAGGAGAAGAAAATTGCTTGGGGGATTAAAGCAGAGGTGAGGTGTCTGGATCTGGCCTCAGAAGGCTACATTTTTTTCTTTCTTTTTTTTCCCCTTAGATATGGTTTTCTACACACCCATTAGAGAGAAAGTGTCAGGTACAAGAAAATGTAGGGGAGTGAAAGCCTCTCGTTTTTAGCCCCAGAAATGACCACTCCTTCTTTTGTTGTGCTTGCTTTCTCTCCCTCCCTCTCTCGGGCTGTGAATGTATGTGTAACCCTGCATTTTTATGTGATACTGTATCATCAGGACTTTTTCCATCATTTTTTTAAAAAGACTTTGCTAATTTGGTGGGGGAAAAATAACTACTTTTAATTTGCATTCCCTTAATATTTTAGTTAGGATTAACATGATTGCCAGTTTATTTACCCATAGAGATTGTTAGTTTTTCTACTCTGTATCTTTTCATAAAATTGGCACTGTTACTAAAGCAAGCCTCTGGTTTCAGATGTCCTAAATGATGCTATATTTGATGAAGACCACGACGAGATGGTGATCGTGAAGGACATAGACATGTTTTCCATGTGCGAACATCATCTAGTTCCATTTGTTGGAAAGGTGAGGTTTTCTCTGTTGTTTCCCAGTTTTAAAAGGCACGACGGAAGTTTTAAAATTAGAATAATTATACTTAAAATTGTTCCCTAATTCCAAATATTCCAAATATTTAGAATTACATATCGACCTTTACTCTTCATCAACCTGCCTGATCTAATAGTTTAAAATCAACAGAATGAAACCAAGCACCTGAAGACCCTCGGGGCAAGCATTTCACTGCAAATGCCATATTACTGGGTTCAGTAATGAGATTAAAGTCTCCTCTTTTTTTTTTCTGGGTAGCTGCTGCAGGATCTGAAGACCTTTGTCCTTTATTTTGACTAAATGTTTGATCCAAGATAGACATTTGTGTAATGAGCAGTGATCACAGAATTTCTCATAGCAGAGGTTATATAGTGTTAGTGGATTTGTAGCCAACCCTTTCTATATTAGAAAAAAAGTGTCTAATGCAAACTAGATAATGGTGCGAGGGAAGGTGACAGGGGATTGAGAAATAAAGAGACAGAGTCCGAGCCGGGTCAGTGGAGTCCCTTCTCTGGGATGCAGAGGAGGGACCTGTGTATTGGGGAAGTCGGGCTGTATGTATTGAGCCAGCTTTGAAGCAGAGTGTGAGGAAGACAAACCGCGGGGCTAGGTACATTTTACTTTTTAAGAACATTCGCTGCTTCTTCTCAGTACAATGACATAGCAAGCAGCCAAGTCATTCTTTTCTTATAACAATCTATCAGGCAGTGGTCCGTGGCCTGGGGCAGCTGTGCTGAACCTGAGGCCTGCTTCCAACTCCCTTGGCGTGCGGTGTCCTGCTTGGCCCTCCACAGAGAATGTTATCTAGCTTGTGGTTAAACGTACCTTTGAGAACATGTGGGTTTAGGATCTAGAATTACCCATTCTCATCCCCTGCCCCCTATCATAATTTGATTTTATTTTGACATTTTACTAATAATTTTCAAACAGAAGATTTATAGGAAATAGTGCTTTGAATACCTATATGCCCATGACCTAAATTTAATGTTTTTGTTAAAGTATTTTATATTTTTATTGTTTATAGAAGTTTAAAACATAGACAGAAAAATGCACCAATCCTGTGGGTATTCCATACACCTCACAGATCAGGTATCAGGGCATCACTAGCACCCCGGAAGCTCACCTTGCGGTCCTTCCTAATCCCTAATCAATCCCCGTCCAACAGGTAGACGAGATTTGCTTGTTTTCCAACCATAGTCGCCTGCAGCCTAGGCACTTTGGGGGTAATTAAGGATCCCACGAGATTATAATGGATCTGAAAAGTTTGTGTTGCTTACTGGTACTTTATCTCTAGAAATTTGTACCAGTTCAGAAGACAAGGACTTCAGCCCTACTCTACTCACTGTGCTTTCCCTGGCGGCCTCCCCTAACCGGCTCTCCTACCCCTCCCACCTCCTTTTGTCTTCAGCTGAAGATCATGTTTAAGGTGGCAGCATTAGCCGTTTGGCTGCTTGCTCAGTTTTCTGAGCGTCTGTCATGTGCACAGAGGTGTGCATGTTGTTTTTCTCCTGTTAATCTGTCTTTTACTATAGGGACGTCTTAGCCATGAACCCAGACAGGCAGAGGGAAAGTTACATTTCCTCCGTACAGAGAAATAGGCTGTGCCATAGAGCCGGGTGGGGAGCAGGCTGTGCCACCCAGGTTTGTACTGGTGCCCTCTGTGGTGTCCGCACAACGACGACACCTCAGGATGCGTTTCTCGGAAGTTAGCTCTGTTGAGCAGCACGTGACTGTGTGTAAATGGAAAGAGTTTATGGTGCGTAGTCTTTGTGTCTGGTTTCTTTTGCTCCACATTGTAAGAGCCATTGATGGTATTGCCTATTGTTGTAGTTTGTTTATTTTCATTGCTATAATTATTCTGTTATACATACATACCACAGTCTATCTGTTCTGTTCTTGGTGGATTTTTTGTGTGTTGTTGTTTTTTTTTTCTTCTGGGTGTTAGCTTGTTTGTATAGAAATAAGTGATAAAGATTTATTCAAGGGTCTTAGAGTTTGCAAACTTAGAACACAGCTAGGCAAAAACCCAGACGTGTTCCAAAGAAGAAAGTAAAGTTCAGATCTCACAGTAAAAGTCGTGTTCTTGAGAATGATCAGTCCTGCACTCTTAGCCCTCAGATTGGTCCAGGATGGTTGTCAGTCAGATGTCTGGTGGTCTACGTGATGAGCCAGGTGGTCTGGAGCATGGTGTCTGAATCCTGAGTGGGGGGTGGGGTAGTGAGAAGGTTATTTGCAGGTCCGAGGTATGTTCAGCATTGATGCACAAATCATCTGATGTATATCCAGGTATTGATGCAGGACTGGGAAGTTCAAAAGTTTAAGTTCCTCGGCTACTTAAAATAAGAAAGAGAATTGTTTCCTCATGCCTTCATAATCATCACCTTCCTAATGTTAATGGTTTAGCAGCTTGGGTAAAATGACTCCATTTAGTATTTCTCTATCTCCACTTTTCCCTAAGGTGCTACCAGCATTCTTCTGGCACACCTGTGCATGCATTTCTGGTGGGAATATACCTACAAGTGTATTGCAGGATCATAGCAAATACTCCTGCTTACTCATCAGATGCTGATTTTTAGTTTTCCAAAGCGGTCCCACCAATTTATACCTCCCGTTCTCTCATGTAAGTCCCAGTCACTTCACAATCCTTGCCAACACTTGGCACATTAACTCCTTCTAAGTTTAGTATTCTGATGTGTGTGATGTGGTTTGTCTCTTTTTAAAACCTTTTACTATAGAAAATTTTAAGCACATATAACGATAAAAAGATTAGCATAATCAAGTTCCAGGTTCCCATCTATCAGCTTCAACTGTTGTCAGTAAAGAACTATATATATATATATATATATATATATATATATATATATATATATATATATATGACATTCCCACCCCCTGGGCTATTTGGAAGCAAATCTTAGCTATACTATCTTTTTCCAGTACATCTCTAAAAGATGAGGATGCCCCACTCCCCCACCCCTGCCCCCGGCCCCACCCTACCCTACACACACTTCAGAAGCCAGCTGAAAGCCCAGGTTTGGATCTGAGCTTGATGAACTGGCTACAGATTGGAGATTCCAACAAACTCCTCCTTAGGTTTGATTCATTTGCTAGAATCGCTCACAGTACACAAAGAAACACATTAACTTACTAGGTCACAGGTTTGTTGTAAACAGATGTAACTCGGGAACAGCCAGAGGGCAGAGATGCATAGGGCAAGGTGTGAGGGGAGGGACCCAGAACTTGCAGGCCTTCTACAGCGCGCCAGGCTCCCTGCATCTCATGTGTTCACCAACTGGAAAGTTCTCCAATCTCCGTTCTCTCAGGGTTTTATGCAGGCTTCACTGTGTAGTCACAATTAATTAAATCATTGGTCATTGCCCATAGACCCGACCTCCAGCCCCTTTTCTCTCCAGGGTGGTGGGTTTGGAGGTGGGGCAGGACCGGAAGCTCCAACCTTCTAATCACATGGTACATTCCCGCCCCCCCCAGGTGCTGCCCAAGCCGCCTCATTAACATAACAAAAGACACTCCCCACACTTGGGAAATTCCCAGGATTTGGGCAGCTGTGAGTCAGGAATTGTGAATGAATACTAAATGTACATTTCTCACAAATCACAGTATTTCAACCCTCTATCCCGTTATATTCTGCTATGATCACCTCTGTGTGTTTTTTGCTAACTCTTTTAAATATATTAATCAGTGGTGATTTTCTAAAGTGGACATTTAAATGACAGGATATTTAGGAAGACCATAAATAGCACAAGCAATACACGAATTATAGCTCTGCTTGTAAGTATAAAAATTTCAAGTGCTACAGAAGGCCTTGGTTCCATGGGAAAGTTTAATTCTAATTTTTCTTTGAAATGCCTAACATTCGGATGCTACTTTTGCTTTCTCCTACTGCTGACCAGGAAGGCGACGCATCTGTATTCTCAAACTCCCACAGCATCCTGCTCACAGATAAAAAAGTTACTAATTACTACTAGATTAATTACTCAAGTGTATAGTAAATATTAGGTAAACAAATGTGAAAAATGCCAGCTCACCAAGATGCAAATAAGTCTATAATTTTATCTTAGGTTCATTGATTGCCTACAAATGACCATTACTTTTAGCCTTTTTGGAGAATTAATTTTATTCATACTTAATGCATGGCTCAAAGAGAAGTGACATTGACATATTAGATATTAATCAGTGCCTATTTAGATTATAGAAATGGCTTTGCCTTCTAGTAAGTTTTATGAGAACTTTAGGTGTTCGGATCTAGGTTATTGCACTGGCACATTCATGTCTGTGTTCTTCTCCTGTTGACTGGAAGGTGGTGCTCTCCAGCAGCTGAAAAATGGGGCCACCATGTGTGACAGAGGGCGTGGAACCCCTCTTTCTGTACAATGGGGTGGGATTTTCCAGGCAACAGTGATGCGCGGAATGTGACTGGGACTCACATGACAGAACGTGAAGTGTCAGTTGGTACAACCACTTTGGAAAACTAAAAGTCAGCCCTTAAGGAGGCCTTCCTGGCTACATTTTAGTGTTGCTACAGTATAATGTACTTTTCTTGGGATGTTTCTCCTCGATAGAGGAAAAAATTGTATCAAATTTAACTTCACCAGGAAATACCATGACTGTACTTCAAACTTGTTGTTTTATTAACAATATCCTTCTTATATATTTTCCTTTTACTGCATTTATGTAATTTTTTAAATGCTTGTATAAGGCTTCATTTTCTCAGTCTTAAACCTATATGACTTAAAGATGCGTTTGCATTGTGTTGAATTACATAAAATTATTCTGTATGGTGCTTCCTTATTTCCTTGTTTTGTCCCAAGGAAGCACTGTGTTTTTACTTAGCTCATGATTTCTGTCTCTCTCCTGAAGGTCCATATCGGCTACCTTCCTAACAAGCAAGTCCTTGGCCTCAGCAAACTTGCGAGGTAAGTGTGACTGTGGTGAATAGGAAAACTGGTTAATAGGATCCTGCCCTACACAGTGAGAGTCTCATCAGGCTTGCTTTTTTGACCAGTGCGATCTAACATGGAAGTCACATTGCAACTTAAAATTTATAGCTGTAGAGACAGACTTAGAGGACCTGAAATCCAAATGTCCTTTTCCTCACTCCCCCACTGCCTACCCTCCTCCCCTATCTCCTAGCCTTTCATCCATTGGCACATTCTTGAAGTCTTAGCTCTCACCTTTCTCTGTAGATAGAGCCTTCCCTGACCAGAGGGGACCTGCGTCCCTGTCCTTTCAGCTAACAGTGAGGGGTGGGAGAGGAAATTTGGGCAGGGGTCTAACAACGCTGCACTGTTTTCACACTTCTAATCAAACCGCTGTTTGGGGTCTCGACCTTGCCTTCTGCTGCACCTTGGCGCCTTCAGGCACCTCTCTGGAGTCCTGCAAGGGCCAGTCAGCTCGCTTCTGCCTCTGCAGACACAAGACTGTGCCTTCCTTGGCTTTCTCAGCGCTATTCCAGGATGAGGTTTACTCTCTTTTCTCCTATTGCTCTCCTTTCTGCTACAGTCTTCTTTTCCATTCTTTATCCTGTGTGTTTATTCCTTTAAAAAAATTCCTTTGCTACCATTTTTATTCGGGTTTTAGGAAGGAGAGTATGTAATCTATGTTTAAGTGACAGTCAACTTGAGGGTTAGTGTTCATTTTTAAGGGAAAAAAATGGAACACTAAATTAAAGAACTGAGTGTATGTTACTTCCAGATATGTTGTAAAATTTTTGAATAAAAGGTCTATAAATGGGGGAAAAAGGCTAAGGCTTTATTTAACTGCTTACTCCTTCTAAGAAGTAGGAATATTTAGGGAAGGATGAGTAATAAAGCAAGCTGAATGTCTTTGCAAAACTTCGCTGTTCGTTTTAATCTTTTATGTGAAGTTTTCATACGCTTGCCTGGAAATGCGTGACCTTTCAGCGCCACCAAAGGCAAATATCAAACAGGAAAGCCTCAAGTAACAAGAAAATGCCAGAAGTGAGTTGATCTGTTTTAACTCTGGTAAGAATTCTAGAGTAAACTTGGTCTGAATAGAAATTCCTGTTGCTGCTGAAAATCCATTGAACGCCTATTCCTTTTCTTGCCTTAGAATCACTGAGTGAACATAAATAAATTTAGAATTTTGAATTTTGAATTGCAATGCCCCCTGGTAGCCATGGTTAGTCTGTTTATCAGACAGACACCTACTTTGAAAGGACTCTGTGCCAGAGAGAAGTAGGACTCAGGTACGAGGTAGCAGGTGCCACAGAAATGCCTACTTTGGAGCTCCCAGCTCAGAGGGGCCACGGTGGCTGACAGGGCTGAGCAGACCCTGAGACGGAGGGCTGAGCAGAATCCTAGCTGCAAGAGAAGTTCCTCTAGGTACAGCAAATGCGTAAGTAGAGGCAAACGAGAGGGTAGGAGCAAGCATAGTCCATGGACAGGGAGCAGGTTAGGTTGATAGAAATAAGAGGTTTAGGCAGGGATGAGGGGGAAGGCAGGGCAGGCATAAGATTACCGTGTGAAGATTTCTTTTCTTTCTCAATTATTAAAGTATACATACCAGTTAAATTTAAATATAAATGAGTAAAAGGGAAGGTTTTCTTTCCTGTTTTTATTTCCCAGAGTGAAAACTAGGTACTTCTTTCACTATCCTTCTGGCAAATTTCTATGAAAACTCAACCACAAAGCTTTTTAAAAATTTGCATAACAAAACAAGCAAAAAAAAAAAGGAGGGTGGGGAGATCATACCCTACATTCTGCACTACATTTTTAAAAAATTTAAAATATTACATTGAAATCTCTTGTACATCTTTCAGTCCAAAAAGTTTAGGTTCATTTTAATAATTTCACTCATTAATAGAATTCCTTTAACTAGTCTTTGATACAGATGAATATAGTCTGCAGTTTGAGGCTACTTTCAAAAAGAAAAAAAATGCTTTGGTGAGCATATTTTTAATGTATTTGCATACTTTGGGTTTACCCGTAAGATAAATTACTAGAATAAAATTTGCTGGGTTAAGGGGAGCTGAGTTTTTTACATACTAAATTGCTCTCCAAAAAAAGGGGATACCAGTTTATACTCTAATAATAGAGGGTGCGTCTATTAGCACCCTCTATTTCTCCAAAGTGTGGAGAAAGCTCCACACTTTGTCCAACACTGGGTTTCATCACACGTTTTGACCTTTGCCAAGCTGATAAATGAAAAATGGTACCTATTGTTTCAATTTGCATTTCTTTTCTAGAATGAAGCTGAGTCTTTTCAGAAACTTTCTACACTTAACCTTTGCTAGTTTTTCCACTGGGTTGCTTGCCTTTTTATTACTAGTTCGTGTGAGTTCTCTGGATGTTAAAGCAGTTAGGTCAGGGGCTGCAAATCGTCTTCCCAGGCTTGTCATTTGTCTTTTGATTTTGTTGTACAGTATCATTTTTCCATAAAGAAGTTAAAAACTTTTATTATAGCCATAAACTCATGTTTCCTGGGTTATTTTTATTTTGATGTCTTTGCTCCATTCGGAATGTATTCAGGAGCAAGGAGTGGGGGGGGGAAATCCACTCATTCCTGCCGCACGTTTGCTGACCTGCCCCGCTCCGTTGCCTTCTGCTTTCTCCCCTGCTTACCCCCCACCCCCGCCCCAGCCTCCTTGCTCTCTTTGTTGCCACTCTCTGTTGGGCTTTTCTTGTGTTCCTCCTGGATTATATGTTAAATTCCTAACTCCTCTTGCCTCAAATCTCTTAGGGTCCTTACATCTGCTCTCACATGCTGGTCACTGGTTCAATTCCAAGTCAGGGCCTATGCAGGAGGCAGTCTGTCCATGTTTCTCTCTCACATTGATGTCTCTCTTCCTCTCTTTCTCCCTCCCTTCCCCTCTCTCTAGCATCAATTTTAAGAAATCATAAAAGTTCAAAATAAAAAGGGAAAATTTATCAAAGGGGACAAAGCAGGTTTTCTTATTTTAATAAAGTTTGCATAATAAAAGCGGTCATGAATCTTCACATGTCAAATGGGTTTAAAACAAAAAGCAGGAAGTGGCTGAAATGAACAGAGAGACTGACCTACCCAAAAACAATGAGTGGGGACTCTGACTTCCTCTCAGTCTTTGCTTGAGATGGACAAATAGCATATACAAAGCAGAATTGAGAGGATACATACTTGTATTTTAGAATGAGAGGCTATGTAACTAAGAATATGCTTTAAAAACTTTAAATTCTTCAAAATAAGTTTTTAAAAAAGATAGAGAAGGGAATAAATTGAGAGTTAGATAGAAAATGTGGATACACCGGTAGCTGTTAGAAAAAGTCAAATTAGCCCTGGCTGTGTAGCTCAGTTGGTTAGAGCATCATCTTGATATATCAGTGGGTTTGGTCCCCAGTCAGGGCAACCAGTGAATGCATAAATAAGTGGAACAGCAAATTGATGTTCCTTTCTCTCTGTCTCTTTCTTTTTCTCTCTCCCTTCCTCTCTCTCTGTAAAAAAATTTTAAAAATTATTTTAAAAAAGAAAAATTAAATTAATGTTAGGAGGGAGGTGGAAAGGGACAGGGCGGAACCCAGTCAGGTTAATAGGCATTCTTTCCAACTTCCAAACAAACGCTGATTCCCATGTTGTGTGTGTCAGTCAAAAGAGCACTGAAAAACCTGAAAAGCTCTCCAGCCAAATTGATGAAGTTGCCTATTCCTGATGACAAAGCTTGATAAAACTAGCATTTAAAAAATTATAGACTAGTCTCATTTATTAGTGTAGTTTTAAAAATCCAAAATATATTTTTAAAAGACTCTACTTTAACAGGCTACAAGTATTGTATTGATCATGTCCCAAGACAGTTTACTTCAAGATCACAAACATGGTGTAGATTAAAATTGAGAACTGATTCTGGGAGTATGGTAAACTAGATTGTGATAGGAATGAGAACATTAGAGACACGGAGGACTGAGAAGGCCCGGTTGCCCTTAACTGAGATCCCAGGAGATGACAGAGGCTGTGTGTGGGGGGGTGGGGGTATGCAATATTAGAGAAGGTAATATTTACAAGCAATTCTGAGTACAAGCAAAATATGTCTCCAGACTCAGGAAGCCTAATAAATCCCAAACAGAACAAATGAAATTAAATCCTCACCTAGATACAATATAGAAAACTGCAGAGTGTATATACGCAAATGTCATAAAATTAGCCATAGAGAAAAATATTGCCTACAAGGTAACAGCAATCAGACTGACAGTTGGTTTGCCAATGGCAATATTTGAAAGGCAGATAAATATCAGCGTCAAACTAGAATTCTGTTCCCAACAGATACCTCTCAACAAATTATCTTCAAGAACGAGGACAAATTATACATATATTTTTTAATATAAAGAAGCTATATGACTTTCCTTAATGCTGAGGAGACAGAAATTCATCACCTACTTTTTTCTTGGAAAGAAAAATGAATAAACTAGGAATAAGAAATAATGAACTCTCTGAGCATAGGGATCCTGTTCACTACACAATCCATACAGAGTAGGCACTCAGCAATCTGCAGGAACGACCCTGCTTTGGAGTGACACTGGCTACCTGCCAGAAACCAGCAGTGGGGGTGGTAGCAGAATGTTAGGGGCCTTCCTGCTAAAGCCCGGAGAGCAGTAGGATGCCCGGTATCACCACTGCTATCTAATGTTGTGCCTGAAATTTTACTTGGGAAAAAGAAATGACAACTATGAGAAGGAAGACAGTACTAAGTTTTAAATCGATGGCATCTCTTTCTTATATAACAGAAATGAACCACCTGGAAAACTATCAGAAGTAATATATATAGAAATTTGACCCAGTGAGAATAGACCATTTTTTTTAAAGTAGGGAAACTCCCTGGCTGGTGTAGCTCAGTGGATTGAGCACGGGCCTGCGAACCACATGATCGTGGTTCGATTCCCAGTCAGGGCGCATGCTTGGGTTGCAGGCTGGTTCCCTGCAGGCCAGTTCCCAGCAGAAGATGCACGAAAGGCAACCACACATTGATGTTTCTCTCCCTCTCTCCTTCCCTTCCCCTCTAAAGATAAATAAAATCTTTAAAAAAAAGTAGGGAAACTGTTTTGTTTTGTTTTTTTAATTATTATTATTTATTTATTTTTAGAGAGAGGGGCAGGGAGAGAGAAAGGGAGAGAAACCTCAGTGTGTGGTGGCCTCTCATGTGGCCCCCACCGGGGACCTGGCCTGCAACCCAGGCACGTGCCCTGACCAGGAATTGAACCAGTGACCCCTTGATTCACAGCCTGAGCTCAGTCTACTGAGCTACACCAGCCAGGGTAGAATAAGCCATTTTCTATCTAGGAGCTTGAACCATCCTTTCTCAGGTTTTTGTTCAAAATAAAAAAAATATGTAGGAGTTCCTTCAATGTTGTTTACCTACTGGGAACACAAAAGAATCAGAATGGCTCCCGTTTCAGGCTAAGGGGCGGCGAATAGGGTGGGCACGATTTATTGACGTTGTTGTCTGGAATAGAGGTATAAAGGAGCAAGTTGCCTGTTCTGTCTGAGGGTCATACGGGGGGGAAGAGCCCTAAAATGCCTCATAGGCAAGGTGATCCTTGAGTCCAAATTCATGACTGAAAGGCTAAATTTTAAAGAAAAGTGTCCTTAATGTTATCCTAAAATGGGTGATTTGTGTGGTCATTTTTCCATCTAACAACTAGAGTGAAAGATGTTGAAAGGAGAAAAATCATCACTTAACAGATTGTGTTGTAAGCGAAGATCAGTAAGCTTTTATTTTGGAAGGAGGTTAATTGTAGTGATTGCCTACATAGACTTATTTTATAAAACGATGTCTGAAGTAGTTCAAATTTGATTATCCTAATAGGTTTAGTTGGTACAGTAGTTGACAGTGGTCTGCCTATTAATTCACAAAGTCTTTTTATTTTTAACTTGAACTCTAAGCTCTGATTAAACAATATGATTAATTAGAACACTTGAGACTTAGCTCAGAATTGAGGGCTTAGGAGCTTTAAAATTACTCACCTCTAATTGTGCTTTTTATAAGTGAACTATATACTCTTAACTCCCTCTCTCTGTGGGAACAGAGGGAACACCTCTCTCACAGTTGGTCTCCTGTAGTTTTTATATCTTTCTATCCTCCTATAAACATTAACCTTTTCTGCCTACACCCTACAATTGCTTCAGTAAAGTCCTTTTAGTTTTATGAGGATGCCTTAGCAATTTCACTTTAAAAAAATTATGATTAACTAAAATAGTTCTTTCTTTTTTAGGATTGTAGAAATCTATAGTAGAAGATTACAAGGTAAATTTTAAAACTATGTTTTTTACAGAAAATTTTTTCTTAAGGAAACAGCATTTTTTGTTCTTATCGTAAGTATAATACATATGACATAAAAATTAAAACCTCATAGGAATATAAAACAGAAAAAGCCTGCTATGCACGTTCCTTCACATTTTATGCAAATACAAACATTTAAAAATTCATTTATTTTTATTACATTTCAAAACGGGCTCATATTATAAATAGTGGGCTTCATTTGTCTTTTATTTCTACTTTTTTTTTCCCACTTACATGTTAAACATTTCCCCTGCATACATGTACGTGTCTCATTTGTTTTGCCTACTGTTTAGTACTCCATTGCACGGCTGTGCTGTGGCTTCATTTAATCAATCTGTGCTCTGATAGGCATTTGGGGATTTTGTCAGCTTTCAAATGGATGTAATGCTTCAGTGAATGTATGTATTCAAAGATGAGTTGTGTATTCAGTACAGGAACTGCAATGTTTAGGTTAAATCATTGGCTTTTACCATTGCTCTAAGTCCAGCTCAATAATCAGACCGTAACCCCTGTGTTAATCCTGTTGCTGAGCTATTCGTTTGCTCTGCTCTACCTCTGTGGAGGTGCTCGATGTCGATATTCTGTTGGACTCACTGCACACCTGAGAGACTCTGGCTGTCTTAATCTGTTCCCCATAGTGGCGCTGGAGGGCGCCAGGGGTTCCTGAGCTGTCCTCAGTACCCGCCTGCAGGGCAGGGAATTGAACAGGGCCTCCTTGGCCCAGGCAGCGAACAAAGCCAAGTGGTAGAAGCTGGTTGTCTTGGCCTTTAAATCTCATGGGAGTCTGCTTTTTAATATGTTATATATTTTAGAGACAGCAAAAGCTTTCAGCTCTCTTTGTGCCAGACACTTAAACTCAGCTCCTTGTCACATCCACAGTTCAGGAGCGCCTGACGAAACAAATTGCCATAGCAATCACAGAAGCCTTGCGACCCGCTGGAGTTGGGGTGGTGGTGGAAGCAACGTAAGTCCGTATTTGCCTTTAATAACGTCGCAGTGGGACATGAAAGTGATACTCAGTGCTGCTCGGTTTTCCTGGCGTAGGCGGTGCCACACACTGACACTGTCCTGTCTTCCATCCCTGAGCCTGCAGCCCCTGTACCTCCGTCACTTACTGTGTTGCCAATATGGGCACCAGAACAGGGGACACTGGTTTTTTTCTCCTGTTTTTGTTTTTATGGGGGTTGTGGAAGAGCAGAGAGTCATGAGCTTGGGTGTAGCGATTTGCATAACCAGCAGCGTTGTGTGTCTTCTCTTGATTTCTTTTTTAGCTCTTTCTTGCCCCAAGTAGAGTTTTCCTAATATTTTGACACATATTTTAAAAACAGAGAGGACTAAGAATGGATACAAAGTGCAACTGAAGACTCTTCTTTAAGTTAGAGTGCATTTTGAGAGCTGCCCACGGCTCGTGGGCAGAGTTCTCATCCACGCTCCTGGCATGGCTTGGACTCTACCATGTGGGCTGTCTGGCTTCACCAGGCTGGTCACCGTCCTCTGCACTCTGACTGGTGAGCCCAGCATGCTCTGGAAGTTCTCTCAGCACCTCAGCGGGCATAGTGTTGTCCTGGGCCTGAAGACGGATCAAGTGAGAACTCCGGTTTCTCTTCATCTGTAGACCACTTGTATTATCTTCACTCAGGAATATTCCATCTCCCCTTCTTTCCTGTCAGATGCCAGAAGGACTTGGCCACTAAGAATAAAAACTACAAGACTAAGAAGCTTAAAAATTTTTTTAGGATAAAATTTGTCTCAGTGACAAACTTGGTCATTGTGAACTCGGTTTAATCAAGTTTATTATTTTTTTTGGACTGCTTTTAATTTTAAAAACCAAACCAGTAACTGTCTATTCTCCCTTTGTTGGCTTGTTTTGTAGACACATGTGCATGGTCATGCGAGGGGTACAGAAAATGAACAGCAAGACTGTGACCAGCACGATGTTGGGTGTGTTCCGGGAAGACCCAAAGACACGCGAAGAGTTCCTCACTCTCATTAGGAGCTGAGCTTTCAGCACGTGCTGTGTGCTTTGCAGACCGTGCCTCTAACAGTAGCATCAGTTGTCTGGTCTTAATTGTTTGTACAATTCCCTTCTCAGTTGTAAGATGTGAAACTTACTCCTTGTCACTAATTGTATTTCATAATTATTTATCGCAGGTTAAATAACAATAACTTTAGTAAAGGGGTAGGTGCTCTATTCTCTTCTAGCCACCACTGAGTGGCAACGTTCAAGCACACTGCCGATAGTGTTAAGCTGTATGTGTACTCCCCCTGCCGTTCTGACAACCTGAGGGTGCTGGGGAGGGAGAAGAACTCACGTACTTTGTTCAAATAGTACGGTGATTTGGTTGATAAGCATAGGGGTGTTGGGAATGGGAGGAAATATGGCCAATATTCTGCTTTTTCCACTCCCCAAACAAAAATGGTATAGAGCTTAAAATAATTTATTGTATAGTGTGCAGCATCGCTCTGCAAATTCAAAGTCCAACAGGCTCCACTTTAATCATGTTTATTAAACTGCCCGTAACGCTTTATTTTTTAAATATTTATTTTTTAACTGTCTAGTTGTAACGTTAATCACCAAGGGAAGGTAATGAAATACCTATGTTTTTGATTTTATAGTGAGTTAAAAAGTCACATTTCTACCTTCTATTCTTTTTAAAATTCCAGGGAATTAGTTCCTGGAGTTGTTTACGAGTGTATTCTCATGTCAACATACAGGGATTTAGACATTTAACTCTCTGTGCCTTGATGAGAATATCACACCATTTAGAGTGTAGGTACCTTTGCCTTCATTTAAAAGCCATTATTTTATGAGACTTAGTACTGACATGGAACATAAATAGTGCTCAGAGTTCCTTTTGAAGTTTCTTGGGAGCTTACTGTGTGTGTTTCTTGCAGATGCCTCAAAACTTTTAAAAAATCTTATCAGTAGTATTTCCAGATATTCCAGAAACTGTCGAGTGCTCATGACTTTCAGGTCTGCGGGGCTATTGCTTCCATGGCCTTGGAAGGATGTAGAAGGAGCTCACTGTGGACCGCACTATGAGCTACGTCTGTCCAATGTCTACTGACATTGTGTTGTTGGTGTCTGTGCAGGTGGCCCGTAATCTTCAGGGATTACTGGGGAATACCAGAAGCTCCCGTCCTGGTTTTCCTTGTGGTCCATGGGACCTGGTCTGCGGTGTTATCTGTTTAAGCAGGCGAGGTCTTTCAGTCCAGGAAGCTGTTGCCTTATTAATGATTCTCTTAAAATTTCCTCTACTGGGGCGGTGTGGGCCAAATTAAAACAAAATAACCAAACACCCCTGCAAAAACACAAACATGATTTTTCATGGAGAAGCCTCTTGTTTGGGCTGACAATACTCCATTACCTGAAGAAGAGTTAAGTACAGCGCTTTCTTTAACTCTGGTAGACCCGTCTCTGCCACTCAGATGTATTTTGTTTGGCTTATGATGAGGCTAAATGGCAGAGATTCTTTTTTTAAACATTCCTTACTTCCATTTTCTGCATTTTTCTATATTTGGATTTTCTAAAGTACAGTGATGGTTGATTTTGAGTTCCTTTTAAAATCAAAGCTAGTATAAGCATTATCCTGCTTAATATTTAGACATTTAGAGGTAGACTTAAGCACTCAACTCATGTTTGGTATTTTAAAGTAAAAGCAGGTGTGACTTGGAGGACCAAAGAAATTGTTAGTATAAATTTATCTTTCTGAGACAAATTGTATTCCTTTTTAAAATGATTCTTTAACATTCCCTAGAAGTGTTCTCATAAAAGTCTAATGTATTCACAGGCTGTTGTTTTACTGGTAAATGCAAAGTAATTACCTTGTCTGTTTTACTCTGGTCTGTAGTACTTCAAAATGACCTTTTCATATCCATGAACTTGAGTCCGTTTTGGGGACTTTTAACACTGTGCAATTAAATTGTCTAAATTTTATGTATGTGTATGTTCCTAAAGTTAATTCTATTTAAATTATTAAAGTGTTATAACTTTGTTCTTGTGAAAGTAGTTTTTTTTTTTAACCATTAGTATAGATATAACAACTAATTCGATTGTTTTCATTGTATTCTGTTTTAGCAAAGCTACCCTCCAGGAGGGCTTCTTGCAGCCTTGATGCTATTGGAGTATAAATCCCAGTGGCAGGGCCAATTCACCCGGCTCTCTGTTTCCCTTCGGTACTGGGTTGGAGGATTGCTGTCCTCACCCCCCTGCAGGCTGGGATGAGATTGAGGACTCCCCGAGTGGCCCCCTTGTATCTCCCAAGCTTAAGTTTGAGTAACAGCAGCCTCCTGAGGACTGGTGCTGCTTTCTGTGTGGGTGCAGCTCGGGAAGGAAAGGCCAGGGAGGGAAAGGCTAGGGCACGGAGCCAGGCAGTGTGGGAAGCGGAAGAAAGTTTTCTTTTTCTAGAAAATAGCCTATCCTGGGCAAAACTTCCAGCTAAGGTTTTGCTGCCTCTTTCAGTTCTGCCTGGTGACTTCATGCCACCCTCTTTCCTGGTGGTCTCCTCCCTGTTCCCTGCTCCACCCGGGCAGAGGCCCTGCCTTCACTGGCTGTCAGCATGCCTGGGTGGTGCTGCTCCTGGCAGGGCCCTGTAGACTGTTGGGTGGCTGTTCTCATCACGCAAAGTGGGAGTGCTTAACTGGAATAATACAACCCTACAGCCACAACTCACAGATGTCAGTAAAACAATGAGCTTCTCATCAACGCCCAAGTTGCTGCTCCTAAATTTTTTCACTGAAGATTGATTGGCTGAGTTCCTTGTTCTGTCACTTGATGGAAGAGCAGATGCGGACACCGAAAGTTTCAGAGAAGGCTGGCTGTGTGTCAACACAGAACAGCGGGATTCCCAGTGGGCCAGAATCCTCCTGTGAAGGTGAGGAGGAAAGAGTTTCAATACATGAGGTCAAGGCCAAGTAAGTTCCTGGCAGCCCCAACCCTCCCAGAGGCTCTTGCTTTATGTTTTAGTCTTTTCAATGTTTTTTTTTTTAAAGATTTTATTTATTTATTTTCAAAGAGAGGGGAAGGCAGGGAGAAAGTGAGGGAGAGAAACATCAATGTGTCTGGGTATCAAACCAGTGACCCTTCGGTTTGCAGGCCAGCACTCAATCCGCTGAGCCACACCAGCCAGGGCTATGTTTTAGTCTTTATTATGGAAAAAATGAAGCACCCAGCAGTAGACCACACATGAGTATGAATCCCATGTACCACCATCCACCCGTGCCCAGCGAGTCTCAGCTCCGCCCGGCCATCTCACTTCCTCTGTACCTCCCACCTCCACTGGGTTATTTCAAAGTAAATCTTGATATCACTTTAAATTTTATTTCTTATTTAAGTCATTTCCCAATCACAGTTGGCATAAAACATCATATTGGCTTCAGGTGTACAACATAATGATCAGATGTTTGTATTCCTTACAGAGTGGTTACCCAATAAGCCAGACATGGTCGCATCTGTAAGGATCTCTGAGTTTCTAAACAAAGAGCAATCACGTGAGAGAACGCTGCTCTTAATACCCCCCAAAATCAGTGCTTTTATATGAAACACCCAGTCGCCATTCACTGTTTTTTTTTTTTATAGTTTATTTGAATCAAGGTATGGATAAGGTCCATACATTACAATTGGTTTACCTGGGTTTTTTTTTATGGTGGTAAAAGACACATAACATAAACATTACCATCTCAGCCATTTTTAGGTGTACAGTACGGCAGTAACTGCACACGCACTGTTGTGCAGCAGGCGTCGGAAACGTGCAAAGCTGGAGCCCTGTACCCACCGCCCCTCCTCCCAGCCCTGGTCACCACTGTTCTACTTTGTTTCCAAGTGTGAATACTTTAGATACCTCATACGTAGAATCATGCAGTATTCGCCTTTTTGTGACTGGCTTTTTTTTTACTTAGCATAAGTAGCCTCATGATTCATTCATGTTGTAGCATGTAAGAGGGTTTCCTTTTTAAAGGCTGAATAATATTTTAGGGTTTGTATAGACTACACTTTCTTTACCCATTTATCTGCTGATGGGCATTTAGATTGCTGCTACCTCTTGTGATTGCTGTTATTTTGTGAATTAACAATGTAATGAACACGAGAGTGAAAGTATCTCCTCAAGACCCTGTTTTCAATTCTTTTGGATATACGTGCAAAAGTGAAATTGCTGAATTTTATGGTAATTCTTTTCATAAATTTTTTTGAGGAATTCTATGCTGTTTTCCATTGCAGCTGTACCGTTGTACATTCCCACCAACAGTGCAAAAGAGTTCCGAGTTCTCCATATTTTTGCCAAAACTTAGTTGACAATTTTCTTGACCGTGGCCATTCTGATGGTTATGAAGTAACATCTCATTGTGGTTTTCTGATTTGCATTTCTCTGATGAGTAGTGATGTTGAACATCTTTTCATATGCATTTTGAACATTTATATATTTTCCATGGAGAAATGAATAGTCAAGTCCTCTGCCCATTTTTTAAAAGGTTTATTTATTTTTAGAGAGAGGAGAAGGGAGGAAGAGACAGAAATATCGATGTGCAAAAGAAACATCGATCGGACTGCCTCCCACACTCCCCCAAATGAGAACCAGGCCCACATCTCAGGCCTGTGCCCTCACTGTAATCTAACCAGCAGCCCTTTGGTTTGCAGGACGATGCTTCACTCACTGAGCCACACCAGTTAGGGCCTGTTTCAGTCAGGTTGTTTATGTTGTTGTTGAGTTGTCGGAGTTTTTTATATATTAACCCGTGGTCAGATAAATGGTTTGTAAATATTTTCTCTGATTTTGTAGATTACCTTTCACTCTTTGCTGCATACAAGTTTTTAAGTTTGACGTTGTCCCATTTGTCAATTTTTGCGTTTGTTGCCTGTGTTTTTGCTGTCGTATCCAGGAAATCGTCGCCCACGCCAGTATTATAAAGCTTTCCTCTGTGTCGTTTCCTAGCAGTTACATAGTTTTAGTTTTTACATATAGACCTTTAACCCATGTTGAGTTCATCTTTGTACATGGTGTCAGGGAAGGGTCCAGCTGTTCTTCTTCTTCTTCTTCTTCGGACATTCTTCTCCAGGGTTTCCAGTGCCATTTGTTGAGGGAACTGTCCTTTCCCCATTGTGTCCCCTTGGCACCTTTGTCCACAATTGTTTAACCAGACACTTGAGGCAGACACTGGAGGATTTGTGTCTGGGCTCTCAATTGTGCTCCATTGGTGAATATGTTTATTTTTAGTGAGTACTGCACTCTTTTGACTATTGTGGCTTTGTAATACATTTTGAAATCAGGAAGTGTGAGGCCTCTGGCTTCATTTTTCTTTCTCAAGATTATTTTTGGCTGTTCAAATTCCTTTGAAATTCTATATGAATTTTAGAAGTTTTTTTTGTTTCTGCAAACAATGCCATTGGGATTTTGATAGGGATTGTGTTGAATGTGTAGATCATTTTGGGTGGTGTGGACATTTTAACAATATTAAGTCTTCCAACTTATGAATGTGGGCTATCTTTCCATTTACTGTGTCTTTAAATTTCTTTTATCAATGGGTTTGTAGTTTTAAAAGTCTCTTTAAGTGCCCCCATTAAGCTTATTCCTAGTCATTGTACTATTTTTAAAAACCAGACTATTTTTTTAGAGAAGTTTTGAGTTCACAATAAAACTGAGTGCCAGTTACAGAGATTCCTCACACCGCCCCGCCCCCGCAGGTGCACAGCTCCCCTTGTTGTCAGCGCCCCTCAGCGGAGCGGAACATTCCGTACACCTGATTGTCTTCTGCTGACACACCGGTATCCCCCGAATCCGTAGTTTATGTTAGGCTTCACTCTTCGTGCTGCACGTTTTACGGATTTGGATAATTGTGTGAGGACATGTATCTGCCATTACAGTGTCGTGTGGAGAAGTCCCTCCCCCCCACAGTCCTCTGTCCTGTACCTACTCATCACCTGTTTTATTTTTTCCACACTATTGCAAATGGAGTGGTTTTTAAATTTCTTCTTTGAATTGTTCATTGGTTGATAGGAGTTTTAACTCCTTTAAAGCTACGGAGTCACCTCTTGCTCTCTCTTTCTCACCTTTTCCTTGTAATTATTTGATTGTTGCTTTCCGAAGAACCCTATGTTTACCCCCAAAATGTCAACTGCCTGAATGGATGAAGGGAAGAAACTTCAGCTTGCAGAGGAAACAAAGGTTATTCTCTGTTGCAACACTCCTCCGTGTCCTTGAATCCTTTCTCCTGAGGCAGCCTAGGTTGGCCAAGTACTGGTCAGCCTTGAACTTGGACACAACTCTTCTTTGTCTGTAGCTCAGTCACATTCACCCTCTCAGGCGTGGAACAGTTCATTCCTTTTTTTTTTTTTTTTTTGTCATGGGGGGGCTGTTGCTCTGTCCTTTCTGAACAGTCTGCCACATGACTCCCTTGGCTACAGTGTGCTGTGTTCCTTGGCTGCCAAGATTTTGGTTGAGGCAGAGGCTATTAGAGGGCTGGAAATAGTGAATCACCCAAGACATGGCATCACTTTGGGGGCCTCTTCCTGGGGAATTCCAAGGTTTCAGCTAAATGGTAAAAGTGCCTGGGCATCCGACCTCTCCAGTTCCATTTCCACGGCCTTGTGAGTAAGAACTCCAGGCCTCTGGCTGCCCTGGGGTGGACAGGGAAGTGACCTGACACACTTTCCCTAATGGTGCAGTTACGACATGTGTGCAAGTCCTGTTGGGGAGAACTTCTGGGGGGGAACATGCATTACACAGCTCCACCACTCCCATCCACGTTTCCTTTTATTTCCACGTTCTCCTGTTTGGTTTGAGCAATGTGTCCGCAACTCCGACCTTTAACTTCTGGAACTGACTGTGCTGGCTGGAGAGACCTGGGCTGGCTGCTGGTCGGCGTGGAGAAGGCGGTGTCAACCGGGGCCTGTGACGAAACGCCTGGGCCTGCTCGGGAACATCCCCTGCGGCTGTTGCACTTAGGCTTTGTTGACTTTCTCCTGATTTTTGGATAAGTT